AAGATCAGACATGGTGCCTCGAGCGTTTTTCTCGAGTGGGTAGAGACCAACAGTGGATTCTGGGATGCAAGGGATCGGGCGCTGAGTGCGGATCCTTCGCTTGCGCCCTGGAACATCCCAAGAATCCGTTACGTGCATCTATGCACACCCTTTGTGGCCAAGCTAATAGCAGCCAACCGACGGGCCCTCTTGGAGGAAGTTGGAAACATGAAGGAAAGAGAGCTACGAGGCAAGCCATCGCCGCCCGTGTTCATGACCCAGTGGCGTCAAGAGGACTCCAGCCACTACTTGTGGAACCACAGCAAGATGGTGGATTCGTGGATTCGGCATATCTCTCTTCATCCACGCTATCCAGGGCTGTTATACATTGACCTTTAGGCCACTATCTATTTTATTATGGGTCGAATGTATACTGAGACCGGGATGGCAGCGTTGTTTTCTTTTTGCCCCTGAGCTGATCGGAGTAGGGTGGATCCTAGTCTAGACCATGCCCTCCTGCTTTCGTACAAATAGCCAGAGGATAGCTTTTTTTCTTTTGGGAGATATCATCTTCCTCACCACGTTCGCTTTTCACTAGCTTTCTTAGCATCACCAGTGTGCATTGCCTAGACAAGATCGATCAACTAATGTGTCTATTTTGCTTGTATTAAGGGGTTCATCCCCATTCTACGTCCTTCTTTTCGCCCCGGTCGGTGCCGTGACTTCATCGTCATCCGTTTGTGGCCGTTCCTTTCCATGTACCACTAGGATTACGCTGCTTCAGTGGCCCTAGCCAAGAGCTAGTTGATGATTGGTGTATTGGTTCCACGCTGTGGCTACCAGACTACGGTGGTGGTGAGTGTCGTGCTGTGTGTGTCGATCGTACCAGCTCTGCTTCACGCTTCTCCCCGTTTTCAATGCGTAGGCACTCAGGGAGCTGGATTGAGTGCGATCATAAGAATGGGCTAAATCATGGCATGTTAGTCACAGTATCCCCAAGAGCCAATGTTGCTAGCGCAGTGGAAAATCTCACATATACATATGGGCTGGGAGGGTTGCAAAAATAACTGGGACTAAACGGCATCGAGAGCCTCGTCTTTGGTGCTAGGGTCTGGGTCTGGTGATCGGCTAGTGAGGAAGCCGAGCAGGACGAGGATGAAGATGATGATTAAACCGACAACAATGCCGGCCGTGAAGGTCTCGTCGTCCATTTCAATTGCGACGCCGGTGTCGAGCCCCTATTGTCAGGTATTGGGATAGATGCGAAACCTGCTACTTAGTCTATATCAATGAAGACTTTAGAGCATAGGACATACGCCAAGTGAGGGCGCAAAAATGCCAGGGTCGAAATGGGATATGTTGGCCAGATCGACAAGATTAATATCCGGACATGGAAACTGATATTTAATCTGTGTGATACCTATAGGATGAACCAAAGGTTTACAACAAAGAGCCAGCATCTCAATGGGGGCTCGGTTGGACAAAGGCGCCTGCGAATCGACCCATTCGGTCTGGTCCATGAAGAACGAGTCAAGGTGTCTGATGGCTTCACGTGCTCCCCACTAGAGCAATAATTTTATGTCAGATCTGTGTCCTTCTATTGAAGAAGCCTATGACTCCCGAGTGAGATTACGACAACGACATTCTATGTAGTGGGCATGGATCGGTATTCATAGATGATTCACCGAACACTTGGTAGTCTGATTGAGCGGCGGCATGCTTTGTCTCCACACCTCGTCCTCCTGCAAAGACCGTGAGCATCTGCCGACCTACAATCGACCAAGTCTGACGGTAGCTAAGCAGCTATAGAATATATCTGACCATGATGTGGAGCCGCCCATGCAATTTTCGGTACCCGTTCTAGTCTCCTAGCACTGATATCCGTTCCTATAGTAGCTGTGCGCATAGATCCTAGTTGTCTCGTTTCTTAGGTATGGCGGTTCCCCGTTATCTAGGATACGCAGTGGAATGCCAATATAAATGCTAAATATCTATGATGCCACCAAAGTGACTAGGTGCCCTCGTGAAGAGGAAATATACACCAAATAAATCATGTTGCTGAACCCCCCCAATCCCACAGTAGGCGAGGCGATGTCTATAGTACGATCCACGCGCGGGTGGCCGGCGCCTCCATGATTTCGCCACATACTTAACATCCGTCCCTAGTTCCCTCCCCCCTCGCGCCGCAGAGCGGATCCGGATTACCGACCTAGATTCTTCGCCACGAGTGTCTGGAAATCCGTGTTCTTCCCGGCGTTGAAGTCGTGCGACCAATAGGCGAAGACATCATGCTCGCTGAAGCTCGACAGGTTCGACGCTGGGTTGGACGGCCGGGAGGCGGCATAGGCAAACGCCAGACGATTCCCGCCGTTGGGGTTGAGAACTACGTTGCGCCCCGTGTCGGTGGTATATGTTGTACAGCCTGTGCACTTAGCTGTAAACTGCCAATGTGTGCCATTGGACTTGGTCCCCGTCTTGAAGACGTTCACGGTGGCACCGCTGTACGGAGTCGGGTACGTGTGGCCGCTGAGGCGCGTTAGCCCGAGCCCGGTGGCGGTTGGTAGTAAATGTGATGCGCACTTACGGGGAATACCGGGAGGAAACGACTGCTTGGTTGTTGTTCCACCACGCCACCGTCAACGGATTGCGAGCCATGCCCCCTCCCCACGCGAGGCCAACCCATCCCACGTTCTTCGGGGAGACCACCTGCAAGACTACGTCGAAGCCCGTCCCCGAGGCAGAGGGACTGGGGACCGCCACGCGAAAGACCACGACGCTCCCATCTATCGAATACTTTGCCGACGCCTCGGAGAACACGAAGCCCGTCTCGGCATCGTGGTACACGGCATCGGCATCCGCTACCTGGAGCTCGGCATCGCTGGCTGGGAACCCTGCTGCAGAGCGAGTCAGCACGGCTCGGGTCACGTCAAGCGGTCGGCGGTCGGCCGGAAGAACATACCAACGCCCACCAACGCCACCAGCAGCCTCAGCGGGATTGCCCAGCGCATCTTGGAGCGGTGCGGGATCAGCGGTCCGGGAAGGAAGATGGATGACGAAGGCCGCTGCGATTGGGGCCCGAGGTTGGCGGTCGGTGTGTTCACAAAGCCTGAGGGGGCAGGTGTTCCTCTTCCCGACCGACGCCGCGGGGGTGAGAAGAAGCAGCGGCCGGAAGGTGTGCCAAGCGGGAAAGCTGTTCAGATCTCAGGACGTCCGCCCTCAGAGGTTCGGCACGTGGACGCCGGCTCTGCGCAGCAATAGGCACAGCAATAGGCACAGCAGTAGGGGCTGAAAGCCTAGTGGTATAAGACTGGATCGCTATTGGCAAGGCGCTGGGATCCCGAGGCCCGGAGAAAGCCAGAGCAGCGCTGTGCTACTGGTTGATATCTGCCATTAAATACACTCGCGGCCACCGACACACCCTTCCACGCCAAGCGCACTCATGTGTCTTGTCCGACGGAGACTCATGGGCGATATGCCACCGTGATATACGAGTGACATGTCCGCCATACCCGATCGGGGGTGCCAGGGGCGGGACGACGGGAGTTGGGGGTGCAGAGAAGGTCCAGTGTAGAATGACGCTCGATTTATCCGGATATTGGGCTGCGCGCGCGATAGGGAGGGGGGGTAATTGGCCATCCGCCCCGCATCCTGAGGTCCAATGCTTCGTCTGTGAGCCGCACGTCCGACTGGGCATAGAAGAAGGCGAAAGAAGGAAGGAAGAAGGAGTTTGGAAAAAGGTGGAGGCTCAGGGCCCCTCCAATATGACGAGGCAATTGAATGCGCCTCATGGGTGGGTAGTGCGAGCAACGAGACTGGCGCCATGATGTCACGGCTCGATGCCCCCAGAGGCCGGCCATGATGCATGTGCTCTCTCTACCTAGAGAGGGAGAACGACGCATACATCAAGGGCCTGTCCAATAGACTATAGATTCTTGGGCGAAAACGAATGCGCCCCTCCCCAGCGCATCCCGAAGGAACCAAAAAGCAGCAGAGGGACGCCCAGAGCTCCCTCCCAGGGAGAGGCGTGTCGGACCATGTCATCTGACCATCCGATCAGGCTGAAGAAGGCCCGTGTGGGTCAGGAGTCCGGCGCCATAACTAGGTCCCTTCCGAACTGAATCCTGGATCGTGCCGTCATGGTCGCACCAAGGCGCCTGAAGAGAGGGGCCAGGTCCGCGAAGGAGAATTACCTGCACGCGTCTCGGCGACCTGGCTGACGTCCGCGCCGGTATATTAGCCCACCCACGCCCGCCCGCAGCGTCGCCTTGGGCGCGGAAGTGGAGATTGCAGAGTCCGCGATCCGGGGAAAGAGCATATCCGTATTCCAGACTATTCCACGCCGCACCATCGCCGGGAAGGGAAGGGGGTGACACATTGCCCCTCCGCCTGAAGGGCGTCGCGGAGGGGGCATCGTGATCCCACCTCGGGCGACCGATGGGAGGTGTAGGTTCCTTGGCGATTGGGCCTCGCTGAAGTAAAGCTCGGCGTGGCCGCTGAAGCGAGCTGGGCTACCATCCTAGCCTGAGCGATGCCGTCCAGCCAAGGACCTGCTCCAGGGCTAGGTCTATATATAGAAAACGCGCGCAGCGGAGTAGAAGATTCGAAATGTTCTAAGACCTTATATCGCTATTTGCAATCCGCAACAGCGAAGGACGCGGCACGGGCCTAGCACGAGATAATAGGACTGCCCGGGAGGCTGCGTATACTCGGAGCACTTGGCAAGGGCACGCTGAAGGCCCGGTGCGTTGCAGTTCCTATATGCAGTTGTAATGGACGGCACTGCAAAGGGTCTCAGGTCGCATCGGCCTCATCTCGACGCAATTAGTGGCTGCAGCTTTCAAGCAGGATGCCCGATCAAATTTCGGTATAGCTGTACTGTCTGTCTTGTGACTGGCCCGATGGCCCGGGGACGGCCGGACGACGACACCAAAGAGCCTAGCCTGCACCCAAAAGCGGAAGAGGCAGAAAGTGAGAGCAAATAGGAAAGAGGCAAAAAGTAACCAGTAACTAGCAAAAGAAACAGCTCAATCCAGGAATCGAACCTGGGTTATTGGAAGACTGGCGATTCATCTCAGAATCCAATGTGATAACCGCTACACTAATCAAGCTTGAGCGATGCCATTAGATGCCACAGATTATGGGCTTTGAAACCGCGTCCGAGTGGCAACATGGGTCATGTCAACGACAAAGAGAAGACTTGGGCGGGTTTGGGCCATATACCTACCTAGGTAGGTTGCCTTCCAAACAACCGAGCTCAACCTAGCGTAGCAGAGTTGAGGCTTATTCTCTAGAATAGCAAGTCAAAGCAACGCAAGTAGGTAAGCTGCCTAGGTTGGCTTGCTAGACGTCTTGGGAGGCCCTTGGACTAGGTCCATCTCTATCTCCTAGCTACCGACCCCCCCGCCGCCTCCCTTCAGATACACAGCGGTCCCTAGCATTAGAGCCCGGTGGATCGAGGTGGAGCGAGGTCAGAGGCGCTTGCTCCAGAGCAAAAGAACAGACGGGGGTCCGAGGCGAGCCCTTCGGCTAGTTTTGGGGGATCCACGAGGGGGTTTGGCCCTGATGCGCACTACGAAGTCCGTGCCGTCGCCGGGGGGCGGCTAGTCGTCCCACTTGGTACCCTTGATCACGTATCAAGAACTCGTTTAGAGTAGGCGAGGTTCATTCGTGCTTGATTAGTGTAGCGGTTATCACATTGGATTCTGAGATAAATCGCCAGTCTTCCAATAACCCAGGTTCGATTCCTGGATTGAGCTGTTCTTTTTGGCCCTTTGGTCTCTTTGGTTTTTTTTTTCCTGTCGGGTACCCACTCCTTGGCGAATCTGCATCTCCACATGGCTTATTCTGCAGAGGTTGAATGGAAGGGGCCCATAGACCTAACTATTCGCTTTGTCGCCGGAGTTAGGGGAGCGTCATTGCTTAAGAGCTGCACTGACAGAGGTTGGTCCGATGATATACGATGAAGCCTAGCCGTAATGGCTTTCGATGGCCGAGTCGCGAGCTGGTAAGGAAGCACAGCTTGCCTTATTGCACAGTTGGAGCGGCATATGAATGTGACGGCCAGTTTCGGTCTAAATCATACGTTAACATATTTCATATTCGTTCTCTCTGGTTAAGTGTTGGGTCCGGTAAGAATGAAGTATGCCATGCCCTGCTCTGCGATCTTGCGCGAGATAAAAACCCTCAATCTGCCGTCGCTGTCCATCGGACTCGGGCGGCACTTTGATTGGAACGACCAGAGTTAGATGGGCATGCCCTGCCGCACACACTGTCGATTTCAGCCGATCCCATAGAGACTGCTCGGAAAGATTCCGCCAGACGACGCAGGTTTCACGCGATATCGTTCGCGGGTGACCGAGAGACAAGGTCAAGCGCTCCGCCTAAGCGGTTCGTTATACCGCCCCAGACACAAAGCCAAGCATAATCACCAGCATGAGAGGAAACAAATGATGGCCGATGAAATTTCATCGAAGCATGCTGAATATTGTACTGCGCCAGAGCCAAATGTAGAGGTGACGAAAAGGTTGTACAAGTGGCTGGGGCGGCTATCGCGCGCTCGACCGCCCACGCCCGCATCACCGAGGTGTGAGGACGACGGAGCCGTCAGCAAATGTTTTGAAATACGCGTCGAATCCTTGGTCAAAGGCGCTGGGAGTCCCCTTGACCAATTCCAAGCCCCCTCGCGGCGTCCGATCCTACCAAGCGTTTTGCGCGACCCCGGCTGAGAACCTTGATAGCCAACCTTTTCGGCCCAACGCCCTGCACAAGAACCATCAAGGTCCCCAGCTCTCGCCGTCTTGGTCTGGCGGTCCAGCACCACGTCAAGACGTCTACTCGCGTATATAACAAGGCGACGATTCCCTGGGTGCGACGACAAAATCCCTCCTCTTTGGTCTCTTCCGCATTTCTGACTCTCCCGGGCGCAACTCCCGACTGCTTGGCCGACTTCGCATCTTGCGCACTCGCCATCCTCAAATCGGCATGGCCCCGGCACCTCAGTGCTCGCCGAAGATCCTCCCGAGGACATAAAATCTGAAAAATGATCGCCCGCTGGCTGAGGCCCCCACGCTGCTCGGGTACGGCATGATGTGAGTGGGTGAGTCGAGGTAGGTTATCGTTCCATTGCCCCCCGTCACTGTGAAGGCCAACCCTCGGCTCCCTTGGTCCTCCTACCCACGCTTGCCGCAGCTGCGCATTCCCCTCCCCAAGAAGTCTTGAGAGAACTTTCTTTCATCATGTTCAGATGGTAGTGTTGTTGGTGGCCTTCCATTTGGATTACATTCCTCAGGCATGCCTCCTCGCCATCAAGCTCTCCTAAATCCTCCTTCCCAACCCCTCCCACGTCACCGTCCTCTTCCGATGCCTCGATCCATGCCGGCTGCTGCCGCTATCACACTTGGCATTTCGGTCTGAAGCCTATCGCACATCGTGGTCGGGCTAGCCGAACAGGCTGACCGACACGTAGCCGCCGTGAGCGCGCCCCTATTCTCCCCAGGGGCTAGGCATCGCTGTGCAGGCCCCCCCACACTAAAGCCTTCATGTGTTTGTCGCCAGCATGGTCTTCCATGGTTCTCCTGCATCGCTTCCCAGCTTCCCCGCCCGTGATAGCCCCGAAGACCCCCATGGTGGTGTCAAGATGGCCCATATTTGACACTGCGATATCACTCAAGTCGCGTTGAACCACCAATAAGCTTGACCCCGTGCTGCCGTGTGATGCGTTGGCGTGCCACTCCCACCCCATTAGCGGCGAGATAGAGGCTCAGCCCAGTCCTTTTCGTAGCCCAGACTGCAGATTGAACTCGCGAGCCGCGAGTGTTGCGTTCACATGCCTTCATACCGAGGCCTTTTCCGACATTCTCAGTGGCCCGTCCCCCACGCCTGGCGTCCTCGGTGTCAAAGGTAAGTCGTAGACCGGTGAGAGGCATTAGGGGTATATAAAATCCATCGTATCCAGCTTCGGAATACCCTTTCTCGTCATCCAGTGTCTTGACTTCCAGTTACACTTGTAAACACCCAATCACCTCTTACGTTACCGGCCATCCCCGTTTATTCCAGTCTTCCAGACCATCTTGCAAAATGTCTCCCTGGTAAGAACTTTGCGCCCTCTACTGTCTTCACATCGGAGATCCGCGGAGTACTCTCTCCTGAACCTTGGCTAATCCAACGGGCATGATGGAATAGCTCGTGCACCACCTGCGCCAACAACTGTAGTGGCTCCTGCTCCTCCTGCTCCTGCTCCGGCTGCAGCGTAAGTTTCCTCGATCCACATGTTCTGCAGTGACTCTAATACCTTTCGGTACGGAAACTAACGCATATCGGCCAGCACTAAATTGACACACGCCGCGGCCCCCATCTATCCTCCCGTCTAGCTACACTTGTCAATTATGCTGGCGACTCGGTACCGCTACGAGCTCTAAAATAGTAGCCACCATGATCATCTAAGAGGGAGTTGGGCTTTGCCGAAGTTGTTAATGTTCGAATGTAGAGTTTTGTCTCGATTTCGCACGCGCTGCCGCAGAAGCTGGAAGAACACATGGTTGCAAACATTGTTCCTCTGTCCCGTCCTTACAGAAAGAGCCTAGTCTCATCCTAGAAATACGTAAAATTTTCGGGAACCCCCAATATTTGTCTCCCTGTAGTCGCGTTGTGACGAGACCCAGTACTGCCTATGCACTCCGCTCCAAACTTCAAACACAACTGGTCAGCCTCCTTGCGTAAGGAGGCTCACACTCTTGCAACCAGCCCCTTCGGCGCATACCTGGTAGAAAACGACTCTCGTACCAGACCTTGCCGTGTTGACTCAGTATTTGTGTTTCAAAAGCCACCCGCCTACCGCAAACAGGCGCTGTTCTTTGAGAGACTAACGCGGCCCCGACAGTAATGAACTCGATTTAGTTTCACCCGAAACCTTGTGCTCATATTACCGCTTTACAAGCTCGGCAAATGTCTCTTGAGCTCGCGGTCGAAAGATCTCGTTCAGCCTTCCAGCCAGCTACAGACGTCTTCATTTGCTCGCAACTGTGGCGCCGATGTCCGAGGTTGTTCGAGTGAGACCTACCGCAATTGGCACAACGTTAGATCTAGATGTGGCGACAATGCTTCAGTCTTTCTTTGAAGCAGCAGCCCTGGGTCCCCTATTACCCCCTCTTTCTCAATTGGCATTCATAGATTCTCTCGCCAACTTTTCTCTTTCTTTCCTTTCCATTTTTTATTTTATTTTATTTCGCTGCGGCCATTTTACTCCTGCACTCGGTCTAATCTCCATCACTTCCACGGCTTCACCGTTAATTCTTTCTCAAATTTATTTAGAGCGTCTACTAGGTAGTTGTGTCACCGACCTCGACGATATCGCGCGGCCTAGAGACCCCAGACTCGAGTCCCGACAATTGGCACGCGGTCGGTTTGTGCCTAAATATATGCCAGATTCACTCTTGCCTGACGCCCGTGGCCAGCGGCAGTGCTTATAAAAAGCTCCCAACCACACAGCGGCGGTTAATATAGTGTGCGTTTAAATTGGACCGCAGTGGGGAGATTTTGTTGACGAGCCCCAAGCCCGAGTTCCGCCTCAACCTCGACGTCCTGCCTTGAAGTGCGCCATTATTCACGCTACGATCGCATCGCGTTGCAGCTCGCCCACTTCGCGCCGGCCGCCAGCTATATGCTCTTTGCCTGTTGGAGGATTCCGCGGGGATCTAGACGGAGATGACGCGACCGAGATTTCCCAGTGTCATCGCCTTTTTACAGATATCCTTCCGGACCACAGCACTCATCCTGGAGGTTTCGATGCTAGGATATCTGTCTTATCTGGCCGCCAGAGGAGTGCTCTTCCTATTTGCCCTCTCGGGGGTAAGTCGCTCCTTGATAACCTTGACCGTATCGAATGGAGTCACCCAAGGAGGCAATTCTGTACTGACAGGGTTTGCAGCTAGCGCTAGCTATTGTGGTCGAGTTCACCGAGCTATTCCCGCTATTGGACTCCCACCACAACGTTCCACGTCTGGCCAGCGCATATATACTGCTGGGAGAGATTGTTGCATTCCCCTTGTTAGCTTTAGGGACATTTTCAGTTCTCTATCTGAGTGGGTCAGTAATAGAAGATGCGGAGAAT